TATATTATATGCATTATAGTTATATGAAACAACATATCCACATCTTGCAATTATGGCTCGTGATTACTTAGCTATTCTTGGTAAATAATTGCTTATGATTTTAAAATATTTTTATATTATCTTTAAAATTATTTATTTAATATTTTATATAGGAACAAGTGTTCCTATTGAAAGAATCTTTTCTGAAGGATCAGATTTAATAACAAAAAAAAAGATCTTGCTTAGGTCAAGAAAGTATTCAGGCATGTATGTGTCTTAAAAATTGGATAAAATGTAATCATAAATAATTTTGTCAGAATTTTTTTTTGTTTTTATGTATTTTTTTTATTTAGTAATTATAAATAAATATCGGGTTTTAATATATATTAGTATATGATAATTTTGCAGTATAATAATAATTTATGAAAAATCTTATAGATATTTATATTTTTTTTTGAAGATTACTTATTAATAATTCAAGTGAACGTATATAATTTGTTTAATCTGTTTGACCTGTTTGACCTGTTTGACCTGTTTTGACCTGCTTGACTTGCTTGATCTGTTTTATTTACAGATCATAGGTCAGGTCAGGTTAATTTATTTGACCTGATATTTAGGTCAGGTTAATCTGATTGTTCTATTACTCAGATAAGATTTATGAGTTGACCTGACCTAACCCGACCTATTCAGAGCTCTAATGAAAGGCAATCTTAGGTTGAGTTTAATTTCTAAGTTATTTGACAGTATTGTAATAAATTAAAAAGTTATCTTATATATCACATGATTTTTACCTTGTCACAAAATCCATCCAATCAGCTAAAATTAGCAGATCTTCAAAATCTATCTAATCAACCAAAACTGGCAGATCTGTGGAAAATGTCAAATCTGCCAAATCTGCCATTTATGTAATATATGTCATGTATACGATGAAAGACCAATTATTACATTTCTTATTTTTATTTATATTTTATTATTATTATTTTATTTCTTATAATAGGGTAGCTTTAGAACTTCATAAACGACAGAGAATTTACTTAGTTTTATTGTTAACAAGATAATTACTAAAACACTTGTATGCAAACAAATACATTTGTAATAATTCTTTTCTTTAATAAAATTCTAAATTACTTAACCCATAAATCATACCTTGTCTTTTAAAATACATTTGATCGATAAACCTTCAGAAGCTCTCCATAAATCACATTGTAAAGTCTTAAAGCTAAATCCTTTATTAATCTTGCGTCAATACTAATTTCAGTCGTTAGTATTGTAAGATAACAGTATGATGATCTTGTTTAGTTTGATCAACCTCAAAAATTAGGACTTATAGAAATGTGAATACTAATAATGCTGGATTGCTAAAATTGGATGGCTAGTTTACCTGGGGCTTGAGGTCTTCTTTCAGTATGACATCTGTTAGTATTATTGATATGGCTGTGATAAATGAGTTTAAAAAGGATCACAGGATCATAGACTTAGTTACAAAATGTGGTGATAAGTCTGTGGGTTTTTTAAGTTTAAATTCTGAGTAAGTCTATGGTTTTGTCATACCATTACAGAATAAAAAAAATAATATGTAAGAAATTTGTTAAAAGTTTAAGTAAGTACTTTTAATATATGTCGATCATTTCTAAATTCTAATTTTAGATTTTTATGATCGATTTGCCGGCCTATTATTAGCTTGCTTTATTAATTAGCCTCTAAAAATTTATACTATAATAGCTCCCCTCCCCATATTATTATTATTTTTATTATTATTTTTTTTAAGAAAATACTTAAATCAAGATTTCTCGTTTGAGTTCTTTTTTTTTATTGTAATACGGAATAGTTATCCGAAAAAATTTCTTTTCGTAAAATAGAAAAAAAAGATCATCAAAATATTGACATAAATTAATGCGGTTATAAAAATAAACATTTCTTGAGAGAATTGAAGATTAATTTGGTTAAAAGTTTCGCTTTTTTTAGATGAATGATCTTTCCAAATATACAAATATAAAGGTGGTTATTATTATTATTATTAAATAACTCTTCCAATTTCTTTAAATTCTCCAAATCATAAAAGTTTTCGTTTTTTTTATATAAAAAAATAAAAAAATAAAAAAAAATCAACTTTAGGATGCATTACAATGGAATAGGAGGACTTCAGTTAGAAATTACACCTACAAATTCAACAATTTCGGAAAATAATAATGAAAATAAAAGATTGTTGGGTGTAATATATGGTATAGGGATGAATGTAAATAATATATTAGGAGCAGGTCCGTAAAAAAATTCATGCTTTTTCTTATGTTTATTTGAAAATGGCTTAAAATTCTTTGGAATTGATAGGTATATTTACGACACCTGGAATTGTTTGGAAGAATGTAAAATCGCCATATATTGTTTTAGGGTTATGGTTAATTGGCGGGATTGTAAGTTTATTCGGTTCACTTATTTACACAGAGGTAAATGTTTTCCATAATAATTATATAATTTACAATCCAAAGTTGTATAATTGGTAAATCTTTCATGTTTAAAGTACGGAGCTATTCATAAAGATAGCGGGGGTGAAACTATTTACCTTGCCACAGCATACCCAAAGCCATACCTAATGTTTAGTTATCTTTTCAGTTTTATGTTTATCTTGTAAGTATCATTGTCCTTCAAAATGTTTCTCTTATAATAACTTAATTAACTGTGTAATTGCAAATTAACTAGCGTAATTCGACCGGGAATCATATGTGCGGTTTTGCAATCTGCTGCACAATATACATGGTACTTGTTTAATGACGTTCCATTTGCAGAAAGTTCAAATTGTAATTTAACAGAAATTAATAGATTTAACCCTAACTGGTAATACAAAATTTTGTGCAGCCTTTTAATTTCTTAATTATAAATTTGATTATTAACACGTCTTGCAAATTTTGTTATTTATAGGATAATAAAATTGACGGCAATCGGATTATTATTCTTAATAACAGGATATCATTTATTAAGTAATAAGTGGGCGAATAAAATCAATCATACGCTAGCAATAATTAAAACGATTTTGTTAGTTGTAATTGCATTTGGCGGAATTTCGAGATATAAAAATACCAATAATTGGACAACTCCTCCAGAAGGAGAAATGTTTAAATTCACTTCATATTCTATTGCCATAATTTCAGTCTTATTTAGTTACAATGGCTGGAATAATTTAAATTATTCCTTGGACGAGTTTAGGAATCCAGAAGAAAGATTAAAAAAGAGTAACATTTACAGTGTTGGAATTGTGACGTTCTTATGTAAGTCTTTTAATTTCATTCATGCTCAATCTCTTCAAAAGTAAAAGTAATCAATCAATTTATTTACTATAGATTTAATGGTTAATATTGCATTTATTACTGCTGTACCCCTAGAGAGAATAAATAACGATATTATTAATGAAACAATAGCAGTAGATTTTTTTAATATCATATTTGAAGGTAATACTACAGGAATGAAGATATTATCGTTTTGTGTTGTTCTCTCCGCTATTGGAACAGCTGCGTCAAGCATTTGGAGGTATTCAATTTTTAAAATATCTTTATTTATATATTTATTAAATTTTATTTATTTATATATATATTGTATATATATAATTTTTTTAACAAAGTGGATCTAGAGTGATAGTGACTGCGGCAAAATCAAATTTTTTTCCAATATTTTCACCACAATTAAAAAGTTTGAATAATAAATTTAATACTCCGGTCACTGCGTTATTAGCACAACTTGGATGGTGTACGCTTATTATGTTGGTCGTTGGTAGTACGGCACTAATTGATAATTTCATATTATACACTTCTGTTGCAATGTTTTGTAGCTGGATATTCTACGTTATTACAAGTCTTGGTTTAGTGGTAAGTACAGTGTATTATTATTATATGTTTATAATTAATTTCTTAAGAATTTTCCTTAAATTTTTATCTTAGATCCTAAGAAGAACATCATCAACGGATTTAGCTTACCCGTTTAAAGTTCCTTTACCAATAATTTATTTATTTATACTTTTCGGATTTATAACATTACTTTTATCATTTTGGGGCATAGATTCAAATTGTCCAAAATTAAATCTATTATTCATTATAATTTCATTTATATTTTTAATCATTGGTTTTTTACTATGGTTTGGATTATTTTACTGGCGGCATTTAGAAGAACAAAGAAAAGAAGACAGAATTAGTGAAATTAATGAACAAGTTGAAATTCGACTTGCCGCTATATCTGAATCTCAAAATAATCGTAGAACACGTACCTTATAGTTTTGTATATCTTTTCCTTATTATTTAAACCACCGTTGTATATAACCTAATTCGTAATAAACTCTAACCCATGATAAATTGTCCCGCAGTTGGCGATTGCTTTTTTTTATTACTTTTTTAAATTCATTGTCGGAATTGCATTCCGACTTTCAATGCATGTCGGATCTTTCGGATCTTTTACTTTTGGAATAATTTAAAACGTTTTATGATAAATATGGTTATTTGTATCACGTTTGGAAAAAGCGAAACACATATATAAGAGAGTAAATGAGAAATAATTTTTTTAAAGAGGTTAAATTTTTTTTATAAAAAAAAATGTCTGAAAGCATAATTGATACTACGCCAACTAATTACTCGCAAAATAATCAAGGAAATGATGAACTTATACAATCAGATAGTCCTAAATCTTCTATAATATTACGCGATTCTTCAGGTTCATTGTTAGGTGTAATTTATGGTATTGGTATGAATGTAAATAATGTGTTAGGTTCGGGGATAGTTACTACACCAGGAATTATTTGGAACTCGGTAAAATCTCCAGTGATTGTATTGATTTTATGGTTTATTGGTGGACTTGTTAGTATGGCAGGATCGTTAACTTACGTTGAACTTGGAGCTATGCATAAAATAAGTGGTGGAGAGACGAAATATTTACAAACTGCTTATCCAGAGCCGAAACTTATGATGAGCTATCTTTTCAGTTTTATGTTTATTTTGTAAATGTTAATTTCATTACATTCGGATTTTAAAAGTTTATTAGAAATGATAACTAAAAAAAAACAATTATATTTTAGTGCAATTCGTCCAGGAATTATAAGTGCTGTTTTACAATCTGCTGCGCAGTATTTTTGGTATACAATTGCGGGATATCAATATGATAAAGAACTCGAGCTACACAAAATTGGATGGAACCTTAAATTTTCTCCATTTTGGTATGAATGGGTAGTTTTAGTTTTTAATTCTAATTGAATATTAAATGACAAATTAAAAGTCCTTAATCTTTTGTATTATTATTATTGTTATTTCAGGTCTATAAAATTTATTGCAATTGCAATTTTGTTAATTATAACTATTTATCACATGCTAAGTAATAGATGGGCGATTCTTATCAATCAAACCTTGGCGACTATCAAGTTGATTACATATTCAATTATAGCAATAACAGGAATTTGTCGATTGTTTTTAAATTGGGAGAATAGTCGTGGTAATTGGCAAGAACCATTAGATGGAGATGCAGGAATCAATGCATACTCTCAGTCGATTTTGTTGGTAAATTACATGAGAGAAAATTTTAATATTCATTTTATAAACATATTAATCTTTCTTCTTTTATAGATTATGTTTAGTTATGATGGCTGGAATAACTTGAATTGTAAGTCTTGTAGAATTTTAGCATTTTTTCTTCTGAAATAGTTGATATATTAATAAACGATTTGATTGTTGGTAGATTCATTAGATGAATTTAGAAATCCGGAAAAGAAATTGATTTTAAGTAATAGTATCAGTGTTGGAATCGTCTCTTTTATGTGTAAGTGTTGTACGTTCTTATTTTATCCCAATTCCCAATTTGATAATTTAGTTAACGCATTTTTTTTTTTTTTACAGACCTTCTCGTGAATATAGCATTTATCTCTGTTGTACCAAAAGGAGATGTGTTGGATAATAAAACGACAAATGAAACTATAGCAGTATCATTCTTTAATCAATTGTTTAGAAGCGATGCAATTGTTAGAATGTTCACTTTTCTTATTGTACTCTCTGTAATTGGTACTGCTGCGGCTAATGTATGGAGGTAAAGTAAATTATTACCTTTTGCATATATTTAACCGTCAAAATGAATTAAATAAATTATAAAGTTAATGAATCTTTATCTATTAAAAATAATTTAGTGGATCGAGAGTTATTGTTGCAGCAGCAAGATTAAAGTTTTTTCCGATATATTCGGATCAATTAAAGAACTGGCATGAAAATTCTAATACACCTGTTAATGCGCTATTAGCACAATTTATTTGGTGTTCACTAATCATATTATTTGTCGGTAGTAGTTTTACTATCACTAGTTTTGAATTATTTTCAAAGTTTGCAATATATAATTTTTGGGTTTTTTATTTGGCTACTGGAATAGGTTTATTTGTATGTAAAGGAAGGAATTCTTTCTTTTTTATTTTATTTAATTTGTTAATTTGTAACCTTTGAAATCACTAGGTTATACGATATAAAAAGCCCGAAAATAATCGTCCTTTTAAGGTTTGGTTACCCATAACAGGAATATTTATATTGGCAGGAATATTTATTTTAATATCTCCATTAGTAGTTGAATGTCCAGATAAAGGAAATGAATGTATACAACAAAAAAGAAGTCCTTTTTACATGAGTTACGGATTTCTTTTCATTGCTTTAATGTTTTGGTATTTCTTGTATTTCTGGTGGGATACCAAGAAAACGCAGAAAAAGCAACAAACTAAAGTTACTAATACTAATACGACCCCATTTTATACACCTAATACTCCTAAAAACGAGTAATTGTAATTTTTTAACCAAAATCATTTGTTTAAAAACGTCATCATTTTTTTTAATTATAAACTTTTATTATTTTTTATAAAAAATGAACGTTTTACTTTTGTACGACACAAATAATTTTAAATATCATTCAGACTCTTTTCACAAGATGTAATTAATAAATCTAATCTTTGAATCGCATTATTTGTTTAATAAAATATCAAAATAAAAGTTATAAATGATTCTAATTTTTCTTAACAAATCACTGAATTTAATGTTTAAAATAAAACAAATCAAAAAGAGGTTATTTTATAAAGATTTTAATTTTAAGTCATTTTTGGTGGAACCTTATATTGGATTCTTCATTTTGATATGAATAACCAGTAGTCATTTGAAAATATCTGAGTCGACCACCTGCTTGCTTTTATGGAGCGACTCAGCCGTTGACCCACTTGGTGTCCAATTTTTTTAATATATAAAATTAAATTTTGACTTTGATCTATATTACATTACAACCCAAATTTTTTACATAATTAAGATTTTTATTACATTTTTATTTTTATTATTATTAGAGTAAAAGATAATAAGATATTATTATTATACCAATATGTTCAAATTTTATTTATTTTATCAATGGATTATGTTTAATAATCACTGATCGTTCGACTTGATGGACTAATCTAGAAATGAAGAAAAGAAACTTTTTTTCAGAATACTATCAACGTTATATGTAAACAATCTATTTAAATTTATTTAATGATGATAAAAAATGTCGGAATTCTTTAATTGTTAATTGCAATTTATTTCTCAATATAATTCTTAATTCATGTAATAAATATCTTAATCGTCATAGTTATTTTTCGCTATTGCATCAACTTTACACAAATATACGTTACAATTTATTGAAATGTCCGTCCAATTTTAACGAAATTTGGAATTAAAAATGACGGAATGAAGAAAAAATATAAAGGTAAGTTGTATCTATGAAGAAATTAAGAAATGAAATCATCTTATGCATATGTATTATGCGTATGGATTATAAACTTAAAAATTTATCAAAATATGGTCATACAAATCTTGAAAATCATACAAATCACTAAATTCGAAAATTGTTTGGCGCAAAAAAAAAAAAGATTGAATGTTCATTGTAAACTTTAATAGGATCATTTTAATAAGATCCCATTATTATTTGTAATTAGTAATTGTATCCAAATTTGCCATTAATTATTATTTTTTTTTTTGTGATGCGCGCGCATAATGCATACATATCGGAATTTCCGAAATTAAACCAAATTGAGAAATTTAAACAAAGTGACTCGTAAAAGATTTTGTGAATTAACTAATTTATCAATTAGATCTTCATGTGTACATATTTTGAGAGATGCCATTATATACATGTATGAACAATAACAAATCAAATTCTTAACAATATATAAAGCAACTCATGAATTTAACGTAATTTGAATCAACCTCTAAAATAATTTTTAAAAAAAAAGAAAAAAGAAAATACTTCGCTATAAATATGCCTCAACCAAAAACAAAGATTTTAGGCGTTGTTTATGGTATTGGCATGAACGTAAACAACATAATTGGATCAGGAATCGTAACCGCACCAGGAGTTATTTGGTATTCAGTACAATCTCCAGTAGTCGTATTAATATTATGGGTTATAGGTGGACTTGTTAGTATGTTAGGATCGTTATCATACGTTGAGCTTGGTGTTAGACATAAAATAAGTGGAGGAGAAACAAAATATTTGCAAACTGCTTTTCCGAATCCAAAATATTGCATTAGTTATCTTTTTAGCTTTATGTGCATTGCGTAAGTTTCGAACAATTAGTTTATGTATTAATATTTTGGTTATATATAGTTAATTATTATTTATTTATTTTTTTTTAGTGCAATCAAGCCAGCAATTACAAGTGCAGTTTTACAATCTGCGGCGCAATATTTTTGGTATACTATTAAAGAGAATCGATATAAAGATGAAATTGAATATGATAAAATTGGATGGACCCTTCCATTTTCTCCATTTTGGTATGAATATATATATATTTTTTTTATCGAATTTAAGTAACAATTACAAAATTTTAATATGAAAAAATTTACTCTATCTTAGGGCTATAAAATTAATAGCGATTGCAATTTTATTTATTATAACTGGATATCATATGATTAATAATAGATTGGCTAACATTATAAACCAATCCCTCGCATTTATAAAATTAATTACATACACAATGATTGCTATAGCCGGACTTTTTCAATTGACAACGGATACAAGTCGGAATAATTGGCAAAACTCAAAGAGTGTAAATACAGATTTTTCTGCTTACTCTTCTGCTATCTTATTGGTAAATATAGAGCTTTTTCTTTCTTTTGAAAAGATCATATTAGGATATATTCTCAAATGTTGTTTTTATTTCATTTTTATTTTTAGGTGATGTTTAGTTACAACGGATGGAATACATTAAATTGTAAGTCATTCAAATTATGTATTTTTTCTTCTCTATAAGAATTATTAATAAATAATTTTTTTTTTTTTTTGGTAGACTCGCTGGACGAATTTAGAAATGTAGAAAAAAAACTTCTTTACAGTAATAGTATCAGTGTATTAATTGTTACAGTATTATGTATGTATATTATAATTATTAAGTTTGAATGGTCAGAGTTAAAGTTAATCCAAAATTTTACAAATTTCTTCAAATTTAGATTTTTTTGTAAACGTTGCATATATTTCTGTTGTAACTCAAGAATATGTATTTAATAATGAAAACGAGAATGAAGTTATAGGCGCAATTTTCTTTAATAATTTATTTAACGATCATAAAGATATCGTCAGAATTTTTACCTTTCTAATTGTACTTTCTGTAATTGGTACTGCTGCATCAAATATATGGAGGTAATTTATTAATTTATTTCTCAATATAATTCATAATTATCCTTGTAAGCTAAACTAATTTTATTATAAATAGTGGCTCAAGAGTGATTGTTGCAGCAGCAGAGTCAGACTTTTTTTTCTCTCGATATTCGCGCAAATTGAGCGCCTTACACGAAAGTTATGACACGCCAATAAATGCTTTAATAGCACAATTCATTTGGTGTTCATTCTTTATATTGATTGGTAGTAGTGTTAATATTACCAATTTTCAATTTTATTCACAGTTTTCAATATATAGCGGTTGGATTTTTTACTTTATTACTGGCATAGGATTATTGAAAATTCGATTTCAAAGGAAATTAGATCTAATTGAAAAGCATGATAAAGAAAAAAATGCACAAGGCAAAGAAGTTGGAAACAAGTTATTTACAGTTCCATTACCTTTTATTTTTATTTTTGTATTAATAGGATTATTTATAATCATATCTGCTTTTTTCGTTCATGTCCATTGTCCCATTGCTGATTCAAATGATTGTAAAAACGACAAATTTCATAAAATGACACCATTTTTTTTCAGTTATGCATTTCTTTTTGCGGCTCTAGTGTTTTGGTATTATTATTGGTGGAAATCTAAGAAAGATGAAGAGTTAAACGGAGAAGATGATGATAAATTGAATTATATAACTTATAAAGAGGAGGATATAAGGAGAGAGGAAATTAGGAGTTAATAGCAAAAGTTAAAAATTTAATTTATAAAAGACCAAGATTACATGGTGAACCTTCTGAGATGGGAGTAATATTAAAGTTAGACATTAATAATTAATTTGTTAAATTTAAGTAAATATGTGTAATTAGGGAGCGAAAAAAAAAAATCAGCTCCTCGTGTCAGAATTTCGGAAATTTTCGAGTTTATTCATAATAGGGATGTTAAACGGTCCCAAATGACTGTAAACAAATATTGAAATTACGAGTTATAGAAAAGTCTAATCGCTTATCTATAATAAGTAACCCTTGATAAATAATTGTAATAATAAATTTTATGAATAACTTATAAAAGAAATATGAACTTTGGAATCGACAATTAACATGGGACCGCCAAGGTGGGACCCGGTCCTTAGGACCGGGTCCTAAGTTTCAAAAATTAAGATTCTGGGTTCCCGCATAAGTTTAATATATTTTTTTAATTTATATTCAATTAACAAATTATCATTAGAAAGTAAAATATAATGCCAGTTAAATAAAAATCTTCTCTGAACTGGCAAATTTATTGGGACTTTAGGACCGTTTAGCATCCCAAAACGCAAACACGACTTTTCTTTTCTTTTTCTTTGAAACTGGTTAGTTCTGATATATTTATATATAAATAAGGGACGCGTAATAATAAATCATGTGTAACGATAGCGCCTCGTGAACCTGTCAAATGTTGATTTAGCCCTTTTTTTTTGCAAAATCACACAAATTTCTTTGACTAATTTATTTAATTTATGATGTTATTTATTTGTTTGTCAAAAATAAAATTCACGTTCACATATAATATATATATTGAATTGTAATAGATATTATATAAACGTCTTTTCTTTACTATTTTTGAAATCTTCCCCATACAAGCATTTGAATGATAATATGAAATGTAATTTTTAAAGAACGCATAACGGGTTCGTTGCTGCGCAGTTACTTAACATACAAGTGTAGGTTTGAAAAGATTCTCTTTATATATGACACATTTATTGAAGGTATTTGTTAACTGAAAAATTGAATGAATGAAGTTAAAGCAATTTCTTTCTTAATCATGGCGTAATAATATGCTTTACTTAATAAAGTTATATGCATTTTCGCAAAATGCTATTAATTAATTATTAACTACCTATAAATTTTACATTAATTATATTAAACATGCCACTCTTTCCACGCATGCTTCAATTCTTGAATAGCTAGAATAACTCCCCCAGTTACCATCCCATTGAGTTTCCTTGCAACTCTTGTATAAAGCCATCCAATAACTGGTAAAGATTCCACCATATCCTTTAAACTCCAAATATCTTCATGCCTAATGATCTTTTTTTGTTCATTAAATTCAAACTTTGTAATTACTCGTTGAGTAATTAATTTCGAACGTAAACAGGGGAGAGGAAGACAATATTTAATTAAAGAGTCAATACAAACTAAATGATGATTTCCTTCTGTCTCTTTGCTAGTAATTGAATGTATTTCCGGTGTTACGGAGTGAAAGAATGTTGAAAGCAGGAGAAATTGATTGATTATTTTGTCTCGTGATTCAACTAGTATCATTGGATTTTCAAAAACTAAAAAAAAAAGTTAAAATCCAATATTATTATTTAATAATAAAGTTATCTATTTTACATACCAGCATTATCATCAAAACATGTTTCAATAACATTCTTTTGGGTTTCTGTTTCCTTTGTAAATAAGCCTGAATAAACAAATCTAGCAATAGTGCTCACACTTGAATCTTCATTATTTATTGATGGTGTTGGCATCGGTAATGGAACTTTTGTTGGTTTTGGCATCGACAATGGAATTGTTGTCATAGACATAGGCACAGACATTACCACAGTTTGTGTAGACTAGAAATTCGAAGTGAAATATTATTTTTCCCAGTTCAAAGTAATTTTAAAAAAAAAATTTCTTTAGAATGATAAATGTTCAAAAATATTTATACTTGTTAAATTCAGTAAAAGGTATAGTGAATCAAGAAGCATGTGAATAATTATGATCAACACAGCCATGGATTTGTCTCAATTTAGTAAATAAGGTATGATGACAAAATCTTTTAGACTATTTCCTTTTCAAAAAAAAAAAAGTGGTCAAAAATAGAATAGTTGATTACAAAAATTATTCCAATAATATTATATAATGATTAGTTACATATAATAGGTTATAATGCAACCAATAGATTCTCCAAATATTGAAAATCTTTTAATGGAAAACAAGAGCATAATCATTTGTAATAATCGAAACGATAATTGTCAAATCTATAATTATTTTCATAATTATTATGTATTTCCTATTATATAAATAAATTTAAAGATATAGCATTTTTGTTGATATAATAAACACCATTTTCACTCGTAAAAACCTCCTAGATATATAAATTATTAGGCTTTTGCAAAATCAACTTTATTAAGGTAAATAAAAAAGAACTTGTTTCCTTTAATCTTCTATTTTCATCATATACGGAGCACTTGCACTTGAAAACAGAAAGTTAATAATGTACAGGATATTGCATCAAGAACTAAACTCAAAATCATATTTCATTGTCCATTTTCTTTGAATAATATTTATAGTTTTCGCTTTGCTATCTAGAAAATCGCAACGCTCATATATTTTTGTATTTTCAAATAAATCTTCGTCAAATTGTTAGAAATTTAATAATGGTCCTTTTCGTTACATTTTTGGACTTTACCTAATAATAATTATAATTTATTTATGGTATAATAAATTTCTTACATCTCAATATCATTAATATTTAAAGTAAAAAAAAGTTGTTGTTCTATTATATCAAAATAATTGAAATTTGTAAGTTCAAAATTTATTTATTTATTTTCGGGATATAGGAAAAAAAAAATTCCGACATTGATTTAGATGATGCGGTTGTTGAACGAATAAGATTCAAGCTAACTCGCATAAGGTTTAAACATAAAATTTTAAGGTTACCTTTTTGGAAAATTGCATGTGTTTATTTATTTGTCATTTTAACGATAACGATAAGGTTTCTTCCCTATGAATTTCGGATAATTTTTTTTTTAAAATGTAAAATTGACGTGTTTTATTTTGTAATACGATAATAAAAGTTGAGTTGAAAATTGATGAACCTTAAAAAATGATTCATACATGTATATATCTGGTTACCAACTTGATGATCATGACTAATCACAACAGGCTGATATTGACAAATTAATAAATAAACTTTATAAACTCAAATTTCTGATACGATAGTTAAAAAAAGGTAAAAGCGAATACTAACTAATGTCACGTGCAACCTTTTCTGTGTCGAGATGACTACACTCCTTTACATTATAAGTAGTTAAATCTAAAGTTCTAATTGAGAGTTTTTAGAATTTTGAATTCTGGTTAAAATTTAAGTTTCGGCTAAAGCACCACAAAAAAAAAAATCTCACGTGATATTTAATTGACCATGAAAATATTTAGTCTAATTCCCTTCACCCTAATCCTAATACTAAAGCACTTATCCTAATAATACTATCACTATTACTAGCTCTTATTAACTCTAAACCTAACCTACCGGCAAATAAATCCGGCTACTATTTTTTACATGAAAAATAAACAAGTTATTATTACATTATAATAATCAATAATAATTTGACATAAAGTATTGTTTTTATTAAGTAAATCAATTCGAATGATTCTATTGGAATTTAGAATTACAAAATATAAATTTGGATTTTTAACCTTATAAGCTATTTTATAGAATAAATTTCAAAAAATCAAATATACATTGTTTTAATTAATTATATACTACAAAAATTAAATAATAACTTTAATGAGAAAATTTATTTTTTTCTGTTATTTTAATTAAATTATTAAGAATTAATTAAGTTTTTATAATATTATTACAAATAGAATATAATTATTATTAAAATATATAAAACTACAATTTTAATAAGATAAAGATAAATTTATATATTTTTATATTTAAAGATTACTTATGCATTTTTTATACTTTTATAAAACTTATTATTATTTATTATTACTATTAATATATTATGATATAGGATCTTTGCAATAGAATAAGAGAAATTACCAGAAAAATAAAAAATGAGTTAATGTTAAATATTTGGATTATAAACTTTCTATTACAAAATCTCATATTATAATATTATAATATAAAATCTTAAAAGATATACTATTATAATATTAGTAATAGGTTATAATATTATTATACTAATACTTTAAAAAATTTGCAAGAAAAAAAATTCTAAGTATATTATTGCTTTAGAGCCTTTTTTCTAGTAATTTTCCATATATTTTTATAAATAAATTATAATATTATAACACAATATCATTTTGGAGGTTATATAGAGCAAAAAGGAGGTTCTGAGACAAATCACCAAATCACTTTCAAATCAATTCTAGCTATACGAAATCCATTATCGAATTTAAACCTCTAACGTGATTTGACTCAATTCTAGATAATGATATCGAATTTGGCTTGGAATTAACCTTCAGATATCAAAAATTATACTGTTTGATATAACCATTCTAGCCTGATTTTAATCCCAAATAATATATCAAAAAATTTTTACTATTCTGATTGCCTTAGGAGGGACCATCGAAAATCAAGAAACAAAGTGACGTGATTTGAGCTGGACCTGACATTGCAAACCCAATATGAATAATAACTTTTATGCTATTCTGCTTGCCTCTAGAGGATCCATTGAAAATCAAGGAACAAAAGTAACATGATTTGAGTTGGATCTGACCATATAAGCCTAAAATGCATACCATATTTCATGATATCCTAAAATTAATTTTAAAGTTGATTTATTATCCGCTAGCAATACTAAAATTTACACCTATATCCGTTTATAGGTGTAAATTTTTGAATGAATACAAGAAAGTCTAAAAGCTCTAGATCATATTCTAGTATACTAATAATTTCTCAATATGCAGTAAACCATTCTTAAGCAATTTCCTTTACATAAAGCTAGGGTCACTAATTTTCACCTTAGGTGTAAAAAAAATTGGGTTAGGTGTAAATTTTTTATATGTATTAGTACTAGGTGTAAAAAAAAATTGGGTTAGGTGTAAATTTTTTGTATGTATTAGTACTAGATGTAAAAAAAATTGGGTTAGGTGTAAATTTTTCATATGTCTTAGTATTAGGTGTAAAAAAAAATGGGTTAGATGTAAATTTTTCATATGACTTAGTACTAGGTGTAAAATTTTCAACCCTAATTTGCCTTCCAATAAGTACCTATGACTCTATTCCGAAGCCTATTAATATACTGGGTCACATAATAACCACTAGCATATTTTCTACAAAGGTTGAGCTTAGAGCTAGTCAGTTTTATACATGAAGTCAAAATGAAAATGTAAAAGTCGAAATGTTTCGACTTTGGAGGTCAAAGTTGAAATGAAAAGTCGAAATGGTCGAAATTACGTCATATCACATGATTTTTTATATATAGAAAAAACAAAAAAAA